TAGTTCGGCTCGATTCGAAAAGTTAAATAGCCGTAGCATATTTGTAGACAACCAAATTAATTTACTTTTGTGTTTTAACATCATTTTTTAACTTTGTTTTGGTCAATTTGATCGTCCTCACTGATAGACAGTATTCAGAAAGAGACAGAGAGAGAGAGAAGAGGGGAGGAGTAGATCTTGCGAGAACTTCCGGGCGGGTGAGAATAGCCACATTCATAATTTAAATAGAAAGGATAACATCCTATCATAGGCGTAGAATAGATTCTTGAGAAGAAAGTTCAGAACAGATCAACATTGCACATTGTCAAAAAGGCAAGGTCTTTTAAAAACCGTCGTCCTGCGGGGGCCGGTTTATATCGCCCGATAAGCCTATTTCGGCACCTCGCCTTCGATCTGGTCCCGAGTCAGTGTAGCCCCTGGCTCAGCGCACGCGCACTGCACATCATCTTACTTACGTGAAATTTGGGTCCCGAGTTGGATCCCCATTCATGCAGGTCAAGTGTGTGTGCATCAGTCTGCTTGAGTTTGTGTGCGTTTGTGGCCTTCTTCTAGAACGGCCTGTGTTGGTTCGTAATCGAGGCGTACGTCTCTTTCAAAACACCAAGTTGGTAGCTCTAGATGTTCGTCCAATGAAATTATAGAAGAAATTGACCCACTTAGACATAAGGAGCTCGAAAGGATAGTCAGGAAACAAGACTTCCATTTTTCTATACAAAATCTTTCAAATGAGCTTGATTTTGTATGAAATGATACAACCTGATAAAAAATAAACTTGTTTTAGTTTTGAATATACCATTGTGCAGGTACTTAAGAACAATTTGAGTGCAAAACGTTTGAAAATTGACCTATAGCTTTTATCCCCTTTCGAACCTCAGGTCATTCATATAACAACAAGAGCGTCCAGAAAGGTTATTCGAATGGGCGTAACTACTCGTAATGTCTTTTTTATATCAGTTTGTTAGAGGGGGTTATTTCATGAATGTGTTTGTAACACTTTATAAATAGAAAGCTAGGATAGAGTGTTATTTTCATCATCGATTAACACACTCCTACAGTATTCATGGCGAAAAGACATGTTTCCCGGCACGCGCGCTGTACACCAACAGTACACACTGAGTGACCCCGGCGGCCTGCCCATAACGTCCTACGTAATCGGTTGCTGATAAGATTCGCTTCTCAGCACAGATGCAGGACAAGAGTTAACTAGATCTAAACATGCAACTAAATGTAGAACGACACACAAACTATATTTAGGTAAGGCGGCCATCTTGTGTGACGTCAGACCTGGATTCCCCTCCGATCACGTAACTACCTCTAAATACAACCAACCGCATGGCCCCAAAGTTCTTGTAGAAAATCTTTGATGGCACGACGCTGTGGTGCGGTTTTTCCAGGAATAGGCCTATCGGTAATGTGATTTATGATGCGGTGCTCTGATGATACTGCTGCTTATCTCTTATCTACGCATTTTGGAAGGGGGGTAATCTTTCGGTGTCTTTGCGGCAATTTTTGCGCGCTTTTTGTCTTTGCGTTTACCATGTTTCAGTTTCAAGAATCACTACTGGATTTCCTAAATGTTATTAACCTACTGCAAACCTTGAAATCAATCAGTAGAGCATGGCTGACGGGCTGCATTTGCCCGCAAGTGTGAACTTTTTCTCGTGCGAAACACATCGATAAGGATAATACGTCAAGCCACTGACCTAACATGTCCCTTGCGGTATCTCCAAAGATTCTCTACTACACGGTCTTTGGTATCTCCACGGCCTTCTAAAAATCGTCTGTGGGTATTCCAAGATGTGATGACATCACATTATTAAAATTAGCCGCCAATCAGGCAGGTGCGTCGTTCTACGTTTAGCCGCATGTCTTGAGTCTTGACTTTGCTTGCTACCTTTCTCAGTCTGGTCTCCTGAATCAATGCAGCATGCAGGAGAAAGTGTTGAGTCGATTGGATATTTAATTTATTGAAAATAGTAGCAGCGTGAATGCAAGCAAAGTAAATTGATGTGGGTTTTGTGTTTGCACCACTGAGACAATTATATCATTTTATAATATACGATTAGAAAATGTAGGCCTGTGCAGCTAATTTACGTGTTTTTCTTTTCAAAAAAGTCTTCAACTACAAGAACTTGAAACTAGATCTACTATAATTTTGCACATATGAGGGGAAGAATTCCGTATACAGGGACCACTACAAAACAGTTGAACAGAGGGTTAGGGGAAAAGGTAGAGATAGGGGTTGGGCGAAAAGGTAGAGATAGGGGTTGGGCGAAAAGGTAGAGATAGGGGTTGGGCGAAAAGGTAGAGATAGAGGTTGGGCCAGGGGTAGGGCTATTCTTTTATTGTGTTTGTTGAGGTGGTCGCTCAATACGAAAGTCCTTCCCATATGAGTAAATGAGTACTTGTGAGTCTTTTAAAATTTCGAATAGGTCAAGATGCAAAGCATTTAGTCTGAAATATAAATCTAGGGTATGATAAGGCCTACGTGAACTGTACTTGAAGGGTTGTATCATTCCTCAGCAAGCAGGCTTGATTGCGGATTTGGTAAGGCTTTACGTTCAAACCTGCACACAGATGCTGGGGATATGGTTGTAAATTTGGCAAGGGGACATGGCCCAGAAAACTGTCACACACCAGTTGTATTCACGAAAATCTCCAACCTAATTGCAAGACATCATGTTATTTTTGGTGAATCTCAGAGGGGCATGCACTCCTAAATGTTGTTCAACTATTGTAATATACTGCTTCAAATTAAAACAAATTATATTCAATCTCAAAAACTAATACTTTGCTATGGATATAGAAGTGAAATATATTACTGCCGATTACAAAATAGTAAAGTCTTAGCTTTTTATTACATGATAGGTTTTACACTGATGGATGAAAGTGAAAAGAACATACTTGCCTTACGTCTTAGTCTCCGAGTCATCGGCAAAGGGTCATCAGATGTACTGAAGTGTTGTAATCCAAGAATCGTGAGACCTGGAATGGGGCTTATTGTTGTCACTGTACTCATCTTATGAGCTAGTGTTTCCAAGCTGGTACTAAGAGCACAGGAACAAACAGTATGACTACCTTTTTACACACAATGCCTTTGTTACTTTCAATTCCTTTTTTGTGTGATTTGTCAGATGTGGTGACCTCAACCCGACCTAAATTGGCCACGGCATGGAAGTACTCAAAAGTTGAGCTCCGACCCCCATCCTTCTCCGAGATCCCAGAGGTACAGCATGGCTTCCAGAAGCTTATCGCCTCCTACAGAACTGGTGCATACAAACAGCTCACCGTCAGGGTAAGTTCAGACGAAGGTTCTAGGAGATACATAAATATATTCGATAGCATCTCTACTTTCTTCTCTCTTGCTTTGTGTTACACAAGTGAGGACTGGCTGCGATACAAACTCTGCATTTGTAGGTTCAGACATAATTATATGAGAATTATTATTCTGCATCTTTGTCGGTTTCCTTTTTTTTTCTTTTTTTCTTTCTTTTTTGTGTGTGTGTGTGTGTGTGTGTTTGTTGGCTTTTTTTGGGGGGGGGGGGGGGGGGGGTTGTTGTTTTTTTTTGGTGATGTGAGCTACAACTGGTGTTTTTTTAGGTTTGGCACAGTGGTTCAATAATTCAGAGCATATTTTGTTCTTTATTGATATTTCAAATAATAATACAAACAAAAGTATGACCCCTTTTGAAAATCTATTTTCAGCTCAATATAACCCTATGTGAAAATAATAAATAGTGAAGATTATATTTATAGAGGCGTCTGCTTTTAATAGTTAACTGACAGTGAATGTTCTAAGACACTCTTGAAATGCCAGCAGCTGGGGTTTAATTGGGATTTCAATCTTTCAAAGTCATCACCATTTATGTGACAGTGAATGCTCTAAAACACCCTTGAAATGCCCCTAGGCAGGGAGGGTCAAATTGGGATTTCGTCCCCTGGCAGTACATGAAATTAATGGTCGCTTTTGAAGACAAGCGGGCTAACCCATATTTGGGGGGTTTCCAGAAATCTTGACCTACACCAAAAGTGGGCATTTCCCTTCCTTATAAGAGAAGTTTGGTTTCAATGGTGTGTATGTTTGTTTGGTTATAGAGAAAACTCTCCTTGTCTCTATGAAGAAACTGAACAAGGGGCAAAAACTTTACCTTTGATTTCCTCAAAACAGCGTTCTGTGGGATGGCCCCCTTGTGCTTAAAAGCAACCAATTGCTCTTCGCCCAATCTCTGCTGAGACTAGTTTTTTGTGAATTGATTTTGTTGTGCTCAAAGTCTAAGATAATTTTTTTAAAAGACTTCTCACTCTCAGTAATAGGCGTCAAGTTATAGAAGTACAATGTCCTCACATTGAAGGAATTTGTCAGGTCCAACGTCTGGAGCACTTTTCACAAAAATTTTACTTCTGTAAGTAAGTGTTTTAGTTTTACGGCACTTGCAACACAATAAGGTCATATAAGTGCCGAAGATTAGAGGTGTTACAAGAGAGTAACAAACACAAAAAAGAAGGAGGAGAGATTAGGACGATAGATGTTTGATAGGAAAGAAGGAGCAAACCACACCAGAGCACCCGCCAACCACCCACATTTTACTTCTAATAAGTAGACTGTTTGTAGATTTGCCTCCCATTTTCTGTCGTAGAGCTCCCAGTTTTTCCCATTTATATTGATCTTATGCTGTTTTCCCTTTCCAAATAAAAACAGAAGTTGACATTGAAACTGAAAAAGACAGTCCCTCTGTTACAAAATAAGTCCTGTATTGATTGTACAGTGGAAACCTGATATAACAGGGATGGTGGGAGTAGAGAAAATGTCCTGTTATATCCGATCCCTGTTAAATCAGAAATGCAAGGAAAATAAGCATTTGTGGACTAATCCAGCTGTACTTATTCATTAGTAGTTGCCCTTGCCACAAGTACCCACGTACAGGGGTTTTGGCACCAACTTTCTCCTTGCATCCTTAAACAAGCTCTTTTGCATCGGGTAGTCTCATCTTCTTTCGATCCAGAGCAAACTTTCTATTGGAGTATGCTGCCGCTACCTTCTCTCTATCCATGGTAATGGTATGAATTGATCCTTGTGGAATGTCGAACTGACGACAAATCTCTGCCACTGGAGCTTGCTTTTTCAACTTTTTGTCAACAGCCTGGATTATTTCGTTGGTTTTTTTTTGTCAATTGAAAGGCATTTTCTCTTGCGCTTGACATCGTTGGTGACAGTAGGCACATTATGCGTGCGTGTAGCTAGGTTTCAGGCTAGATCGAGGTCTGCAGCACACCGCAGCCCTCTCTCGTTTCACACGCTGCGTGTGCGTGCATTGGCATGGCTTGCATGGGCTTTCTCCATCACTGTGTTTCTCTCTCTCTCTCTTACATTTTACATATTGTTAACGAGCCTTTGCCCCTGCTATAACCGGTTGGGCTCCGATGAGGCCCTGTTATTGCCGATAACTTTTAATAGAGACAAAGAGTAGGAAAAATCGGGGATTTAAAATATCCCTGTTATTACCGGGCCTGTTATATATGGTTTCCACTGTAATTACTACCTTTCATTGTAAATGTGGTTCATAAACTAATGTTTTTGTCACGTATATTTGGAAGGGGTTCCTCACTGTATTTTCTTTTCTTTCAGAATGTCTTTCTCCAATTCTTGTTGATTGTGTCAACATTTTCTTAATTTGCTGTTGTGTGGCATTTCTTGTAGACACGCCCCATCTGCTTTGTATATATTCTGAAATTGTGTAGTGTTGTAAAATCCACTTCCTTTTTTCGTACTAAAAATGTCACATTTTTGCACCTTCTCATCCATTCCCTCTTCTTGTGTTATCTCGTTGACAGGAAGCATGGCTTAACACACTGATCGGCGCCGAGATTTTCTTCTGGTTCGTGGCGGGCGAGTGCATCGGCAAGGGAGGAGTCATCGGCTACAACATCCCCGGCGCTGTCAACTGGGACATGCACTTTTAAACATATGTAGTTCTTAGTATAAATGAATGCATTATCAGTTGTCAGACAAATAGCACAGCAATGGTACTTTGTGAAAGATTTCGTTCTATGCCGCACGTTCTTGATGAAGTGTTTGGAGGAATTTCTCATCGTTATTATTGTACCCTTTTTGAGAGAAAAGAGTGCCGGCAAAGTGACTGTTGGCCTGGCGAAAAGTCTCAACTCATATGTTGTGTAGAGCGGTGAAGTGAACCCTTGTATGTGATTGTTGAGGCGATTGTCATGGGTGAATAGTTACCTGGAATAAACGAGTGATTTCTATGAGTTGTGGATTGGGTTGTTTATATGTATTTGTTTGTTGGTTCAATTTTTTTTTTAATTGGTTGTTTTTTGGGGGGGGGTTTTATTTAATGTTGAAATTTGTGTATAGTAGAAGTCTTGCAAGCGGAAATTGAAAAAACGGGGACATCAGAGAAACAGATAGAAAAGGATGCTCAGGACAGGCTTCGCTGGAGTAATGTTGTTGATGGTCTGTGCTCCACTGGGAGTTAAAAAGGGCAAGAGAGAGAGAGAGAAGTCTTGCAACTGGTGTTTGGTGTAGTAGTAAGGCGCATGCAGATGACCCCAATAGGGAGAATTTTTGTTGAGTACCTCGGACTTTCTACTAGGGTGTTGTATCCCTCTCAGCCCAGGTTGGCCTCAACAGGCAGGATCAGAAGCCCTTCTCCTAACTCAAACTGTCTTTTATCCTGTGTTGATGGGGCAAGTTCATGCAGAAGATGATATGATAGGGAGTACGCCCCTGAGAAAAGACACGTGTAGACCTACTCAGAACACTTACCATACTCCACAAGGGAACAGATTTCTTGTCTTTTCCTAAAACTCTGTGATAGTAGTGACAGATGCTGATCTACTCGGTCAGAATAAACAAATTACAGTATAACACGGATAGCTCAAACTCGTCGGGACCGGCCTCGATAGTTTCAGGGATATCTTACGAAGACAAAAATAGAGAAGTAAAAAAACGAGACCGTAGACACAGTTTGACGGATGCATGATTTCGAGTCTTTTGTGTTCGACCAATCCGTGTTATACTGTAATTTAATTAGTCACTCCAGCCTGAGATCGAGCAAACTGGAAAATGCACGTACGTCTCCGCCAGCTGTATGACAGGTTTAGTTTGGTCATAGGGTCTCTCTGAGAACTACATCTAGTTTTTCAAAATAAGACTGCCTAATTAGTCCAGAATTCGAGAAAGAGTTTTTTTTACTAGTTTTAAACACATACATTATTATTATTACTCTATTGATACTTCAGTAGTAGTAGTGGTAGGCCTACCAGTATTTGAGGCACCTCACCAGCTTGGCGCTTGGGCAGTTGTTTAGAGGGTGTCACTGGTAGGTCCTATTTCTTTAGGGACCGTTAACAAATGACATCAGCTCGGGGGGAGGGGGGGTGGT